AAAATATGGGATATTGGAAAAGGCGAATAGGATTATTGTTATTATTCGTTTGGCACATATCTCGACTGCAATGCTTGCCAAATGAATAAGAATAATTGTTGCACTGTTTTTGATGTTGTTGCATAATGGTTGCCACAGATAATTTTTTGGAAGTGAATAAGAGACGTGAATCCTCAATATCTTCGGATCTTTCAGTATAAAAGATTTGCCTTTCCGCTCTTATAACTTTATGCTTAATGTTATTGTTTGCAATGATATTGTGATCACTTTTTTACAATAAAACTGTAATTTCGTATGCACCCTTGTTTTTTTAAAAAAAAAAAAAAAAATTCCCCTTTATTGCACTTGCGAAGTTATCACTTGAACGAGAATGGGTTCGTATTTCCCCTGAAATTTAATAGTGCTGTAAGTAGTTATTTGTTTATAATTTGCTTGGGGAAATGTTTCTTCGTTGTTTCCTGTAAACCCTTCCGGCTGAAGTGCGTGCTCACGAAAGGATTATTAAGTAGTACTGTTCTTGATTTATATCTTCTGAAGAGGGCTTTCAGGGAAGTGTTGCACCATATCTGTCTGCAACCCAACCATTCGTTTCAGTGTTATGGCGGTTTAGATATAGGATGACGTAATCTTCAGAACCAGTATCTCTGTTTAGTTAGAAAATTTCCTGGAGCAGCATAATTTTAGTAGCGATGATGGGAACTATTACGGCGGATGAAGTCAACTTCCAGCAGTTGTTGGATCTCAGTGAGAGGCTTCTTACGGATGATATCTCTCCCAATATGCCCAAACTTCATGCAGCTTTGAAAGAGATGGAAGAATTATACGATCGATTGCAAGGGAACAGGTAAGCATTTTAATTTCCTTATATTTGAAATACAAATTTTGTGATTATTGGATCATTACGTACAGTTTGTTTTAAATTCGTTATCTGTTATTTATCATTTGTGTGTGTTGTCGTTTAAGAAAAAATGTAGTTTAAGAAGATGTCATCTTCATTTTACACACTAGAAATATAAGTTATGAAATATACCTAGCTACTTTTAAGAGAACGTTAAAGCTTTGAAAGTTAAGGAAAATATAAAGTTGGAAAGATAAAATTAATCGGTTTTTGTTAATTTCCGACGATTAATATTATTTGAAGATTTTAGGAAATGACCAATTTTTAGGAATATTGATGATGATGTTTTAAAATATTATGGACGAGATTTGCAAACACTACGCCTGCAAATTGAAAGAGAACAAAAAGTAGGGTCTTTTTTATTTGGTATTCTATCACAATTCTTTAAAGCATTTGCAACTTGTAAAAAAATTTAAACAAGTTTCAGAGGCCTGCCATAATTAATGATGAACAAGATTTGACAGCAAATTTTGGAATTGCTGCCGAAGGTCCGAATGAAAGCAAAGGTCCGAGTGAAAGCAATGCTTTTATGGAAGCTAAAAAGAAAGCCGCACATCAGGCAGAGTTGCGCATGCAGTTACTTGGAGGACCGGAAAGGTTTAAATATACCATACATTTTGCTGTCTTTATTTGTGTTGAGAAAATAGAATCTCATTCCTCTCATTTTTGTTTTTTCGTTAATAACACACTTTATTGCTTTTGCAAATTTTAATTGTTAAGGTCATCATCGCTTGATCTTGATTTGGACACGGAACAAATTGCTAAGCGTGAAGCTGAGAAGCAAGAAAATTTGATGGGCGAATTATTTGGTATGGTACGTTTAATGAAACAAACATATTCAACAGCTAGTGCAGTCATCAAAGAGGATAACGCGGTTTGTTTTTTGAGGTTCTATTTTTCAGATGTATTTAACAGAATGGCATTGGGAACGATGAGCATAGTGTAATGTTTCTGATGAAAAATGAATAGTTTCAGAATAATGTAAGGATTTTGTGTAGTCCTTGGTGCTTATTCCAGGATGTGAGTTCCTTTTTATTTCTTATAAGAACTAGAGGGATATTTGATGTATTGCAAAGTGTATGAAAAGATGGAATTTGTGTAAATGAGGAAAACTTCAAATTTGATATTAAAGATGTTAAATATTTCGTATTTTAGACATTATCTCGATTGCATCAGGCGACAAATAATCATAAAGGGAGTTTGTTAAGAGAAAGCAAACGACTTGAAGAACGTGCATATCGTTCATGGTGTGACTGTTTGTATGTTCTAGGTGTTTGTGCTATAGTTATGTCATTTATAGCTATGGTAATTATCATGAGGGTTTTCACTAAAAAATCTTTATGAAATGTACAAATTTTATTCTTGAAGCGCAATAAAAAAAATATTGAAAATTATCAAATATTTTGTTGGTGATCGTCCAAGAAATTGCAGCAAGCAAAGTTGCTGTTATAAGACATAAGAGAAGAGGGACAATATTCATTCATTAAGTGTTCCTTACTTGTAGTCCTTTCGTTGACTTTTAAATCACATAGATCTCGCATCAGAATTTTTGCTCTTGCCTATTATTCTTTTTTTTTTTTTTATGAAGAGCCCTTTAGTTTTTTATAAACATATTTTATAATTCGATACTTTATGGTGTACTGTTCAGAAATTAGAATTCTTTTTGTATCGATTATGATAGATATAATATATTCTTTGAAAAGTAATCTAAGGAGGATTTTCGAAAGTGAAGGAAGTTGAAGTTGATCATAATCCTGTTACATTTGGATATCTATTTCATTTTATTTCAAAAACTGAAATTACAATGAACGAAAAATGCAACCGTATTTAGGATCCGTAAAAGTATGAATCTTGCAGTTTGCTTCTCATTTTTCTCTCCGATTATTTTCCGTTATATTAGGATGGTAATATTGATCATCTCAATATCTTTGCAACTCGGTAACATTTAGATGTGGTATCATTACAAACTGGAAATGCTACATTATTTTTTATCATAAAATTTGGAGGAATTCTGATGAAGAATGAGCTAAGAGATATTTCTAGATTACTGTCTTTTCTTTTTGGATTCGAAATTGCTCTCAAGATTTAGAATAAAATAAGTTTACAGCTCCTTGTATTACAAACGATACGAAACATACTGGCATGTGATTTCGGTAGGCCTTGATGTATTCCGAAGATTTGTGACAGGAGATATTTGTGACAGGCGATTCATACCATACGGAAATAGGTGAGATTGATGTTGATTCTGTTGTTTGCCTTACTTTTAATTTATCCTTAACCGGTGATATAGCATAACTGTAAAACATTTAAATTAAATTTTCAATTTCCTCTTTTTATGACATATAGTATTTCAGGTATTCAGTATTCTTGAGATAATTATGGTTCAGATATCCAGATTATCTGTTTATCTACCTTTTCTATCTCTTTAGTGCTCAGATTGATCCCGCTATTTTGATGGATCTCTTTGGGTTTTTAGCAATTCTATATGTTACAAATGGAGAGACATTGATATAATCATGATAATCTCTTTTAGATTCATTCCATATCTATAGGAAGAAAAATAAATTACCCAAAATAGAAGAGAAAAAAGAAATTTCGAACAAATTTAAAAAGTATAGAATATAACTTACGTGATTTCATTATGACAATTGAATAGCGTAAGTAAGATAGGAAGTATTAATAAACCATGTAATGCACCAATTATTATCACTAAGATAATCATTTTTAAAAATGAACGAAATACACAGCTATCAATGAATGCCAAGAATGAAACACCTATAATCAGAGTATTATCAATTAATTATCAGTTAATGTACATGTTATGAGATTATCAGTAAATATACATCTTTTATCATTACTTTGCAAACATTTCTTACATTTAAACTTTTTAATACATTTACTTGAAAATTTTGATACATACCAATAATTGTACTGCTAGCAGATTGTATTATTGGAACACCAACATTATATAAAGCATTACGCATTCGCTCAAAAGAGCCTATCCCTTCATCCTATAAATATGAGCCAATGCTTATCAAAAATGAAATTCATGCCTCAAAAGAGCCTATCCCTTCATCCTATAAATATGAGCCAATGCTTATCAAAAATGAAATTCATGCCTCAAAAGAGCCTATCTCTTCAAGCTATAAATGAGCCAATGCTTATCAAAAATGAAATTCATGCCTCAAAAGAG